CATTACTATTGTTCCTTTGGAGCTTCAACAACACAACTCCGCTTTGTTCCATCTTCTGCTGTCCTCTTTAGCTGGGTCCACGATTGCCCATAGCCTCTCATCTCCTCCTAACACGATCTCCTCCATATCACCCTCACACCAAAGACCCACTCGTCGTTTCTCATTGAGATTCCATTCGACAGCCTGGCGCGTGATGTCATTCGATGGTCTCCTCAAATGTATTCCCCATACATCTCCACTTTCTCCTACATATTTGTTGAGCGATCGGTTCTTGGTTCGTTTTTTCCCAGCCAGAGTTTCTTGTTATAAATTCTTTCTGGCCATTTAATCTTCATTATGGAATCAGATGAATGAAAATGGAGAACTCTTCGCCGACTTCTGCGCCTTCAATGAACTAGTGATTGGTGGCAGCGTATACAAACACAAGGATATCCACAAGGCTACATGGGTGTCACCAGATGGGCGAACCAAAAACCAAATTGACTTCATCACAATCTCGAGGAAGTGGCGGCGCAGCCTACTGGACACAAAAGCAAGAAGAGGAGCAGACGTTGGCTCAGACCACTACCTCGTACAAGGAACAATCCAACTCAAATTAAAAGCTTTCAGAGAAGCAGGAGCTGCAGATAGACCACAGGCCAAGTTCAACACTCAAAAACTAAAGGATCAGGATACAAAGGACATCTTTACTGCAAGCATAAAGGACAAAGCTGAGACACAAATCAACATTAGCGAAGAGGTCAGCGTCGAAAAACACTGGGACAACCTGAAAACAGTATGGAGCGAAACCTGCATGGAAGTTCTGGGCAGAAAGAAGAGGCAGGACAAACCGTGGCTCACTACGGACATTTGGAGGCTAATAGAAGAGAGAAGGATGGTGAAACAAAAGATTCTCCAGTGCACCGACGAGCAACAGAAACAGGAGTTGAATGCAAACTACAAGACACTGAACAAAGGAGTAAAGAAGAGTGCCAGAGAAGACAAAAGAAAGTAATATGAAGCCATGGCCAATGAAGCAGAACAAGCAGCAGGCAAAGGGGACCTCGCAACACTCTACCAAACAACTAGGTACCTCTCAGGCAAAAACTCGTCACAAATTAAGCCAGTGAAGGATGAAAATGGAAAGTCAGTCACCAAAGAAGTGGAGCAAAGGAAACACTGGGCTGAACACTTCAAAAGACTACTAAACCGACCGCCACCTACAACGCGCCCAACAATACCAACAACGGAAGCAGAATTACCAGTGAACATCAACCCCCCGACGAAAACAGAAGTCCTGAAGGCAATCAAGATGCTGAAAGCTGGAAAAGCAGCAGGACCAGATGGAATCCCAGCAGAAGCATTGAAAGTGGACCCAGAGACAACAGCAGACTTGATGACGCCACTACTGGAGAAGGTGTGGAAAGAAGGCAAAGTACCCGAGGATTGGAAGAAAGGATACTTATTCAAACTACCAAAGAAAGGAGACCTAAGTCAATGCAAGAACTGGCGCGGAATTATGCTCCTGTCCATCCCAAGCAAAATACTAAGCCGCATCATCCTGGAAAGGATCAAACAAGCCCTGGATGAAAAACTTCGACCAGAACAAGCTGGATTCAGGAGAAACAAGTCATGTATTGATCAAATCGCCACACTACGGATCATCATTGAACAAAGTTTGGAATGGCAGTCACCTCTCTATCTCAACTTCATTGACTTTGAAAAGGCCTTCGACAGCGTCGATCGAGAGGTGATTTGGAAACTACTTCGCTACTATGGGGTGCCACCGACAATTATACATCTCATCCAACAGTTGTATGACAACGCTGCATGCCAAGTAATCCACAACGGGAAGCTCACGGAATCCTTCGAAGTGAAGACAGGAGTAAGACAGGGTTGCCTACTATCGCCAATGATTTTCCTGATTGCGGTAGATTGGATAATGCGACAAACAGCGGGCAATGAGGAAACAGGCATAAAATGGACTCACACAAAGAACTTGGAGGATCTGGACTTCGCCGATGATATATGCCTGATTTCCCACAAACTGGAAGATATGCAAGTGAAAAGTAACAAGTTGGCAGAAGAAGCATCAAAGATAGGACTTCAGGTGAACATAGAGAAAACGGAGGTTATGAAGATCCCTGGCCAACAACAACAACAACAGACAGCAATCAGCATAAATGGAAAGAACCTGAAAGAAACTACCTCCTTTACCTACCTGGGAAGCATCGTTTCAACTACAGGACGGAACTGACAAGGATATCAAAGCAAGAATCGGGAAAGCAAGGCAAGCCTTCATTACTCTCAAGTCTGTGTGGAGGTCAACATCATTCAGCGTCAAAAATAAAATCGGGATTTTCAACTCCAATGTGAAGTCAGTACTACTATACGGATCAGAGACTTGGCGTGTCACAAAAAGCACCTCAAACAAGCTACAGACCTTCATTAACAGATGTCTTCGCTCAATACTCAAGATCAGATGGCCGGAAAGGATCAGCAACAAAGATCTCTGGGAGCGAACCAACCAGGAACCGATTGTGAAACAAATAGGGAGGAAGAAATGGAGATGGATTGGCCACACTCTGAGGAAACCAGCAAGTGACATCACTAGACAAGCCCTCGAGTGGAACCCGAAAGGGAAGCGACGAGTTGATCGTCCAAGGGTGACCTGGAGGAGATCATGTGAAGAGGAGATGAAAGCATGTGGGCAGACCTGGAGCCAGGTGAAAACTCTAGCAGAGAACCGAACGCAATGGAGACGCATGGCTGAAGCCCTATGTTTCTCTAGGAACTAAATGAAATAATAATAATAATAATGGAATCAGCGAAGGCAGCTGCCGATGAAAGTCTGCAACAGGCTGTTGAAAATCCTTTTCGTGACACGCAGTGCATGTTTCTGACCCTTATACAAAAACTGTCTTGACATTGGAGTTGAAAATCCGAATATTGCTGGCTGGGATTAGAAGATTTCCAAACTGCTTCCAGGTTGATGAAGGCGTATGTTGCTTTTCGGATTCCGACTGGCTTTGACATCTTCAACCGTTCCGCCTGTAGTTGAAACGATGCTTCCTAGATACTTAGAGGAAGTAACCTATGTTAAATCTCTCCCGTTGATGGTGATGGGTGCTGGTTGTTGTTGTTGCTACAGTTCGTTGTTTATCTTCATTACCTTAGTCTTCTCTATGCTTACTTAGAGTCCTGTCTTCTCTGCTTCTTCAGCCATTTTGTTGGTTTTTACCTGTAAGTCTTCGAGTTTATGTGACATTCGACATATGTCATATGTGAAATCCAGATCTCCTACAGTCTTCCTATCGGTGGTTCAACTTTTACTGTCTTCTGACTCCCTTTTCACAGTCTGATGCATAATCCAGTCCACCACAATTAGTAATATCATCGGTGATAATAGGTACGCTGCCTTGTCTTACTCCTGCATAAATTTCAAACGCCTCACTGAGTTTCCTGTTGTGGATCACCTGACACGTGGCGTTGTCATATAGCCAGCTGTTGAATGAGGTTAAAAAAGACTTGGGCATTGTACGTCGTAGTGTTGAAGTAGTTTCAAAACTGCTTCTCGGTCCACGCTGTCAGAGGACTCTTCGAAGTCAAGGTAGAGGTTTGACTGCCATTATATGCTTTGTTCGATGACGATGAGTAGAGTTGTAATATGATCAGCACAAGATTTGCCTTTCCTGAATCCAGCTTGTTCCGGTGGGTGTCGGAGTTCTGTATCCAGCGCATCCTTTATTCTCTCCAGGATGATGTGACTTATTATTTTACTTGGCATGGACAAGAGTATTATTCCATACCAGAAGCCTGAATCGATGTGACACTGGTGAGACATATACCATGAACTGTACTTCCGGAATAAATTGTTTTTATGTTTTAAAAGTGGACTTAATTATCCTTGCAAGTGACCGTAATCTTTTATAACCCATTCACCTTAATGTTTGTAATATAATTATCATTCCCTTTAGTTCCAAACAACACATCTCCACTTCATCCGCCACTCAGCAGTTCTCCTTAGCTGGCTGGCTCCACGACTGCCCACAAGATGTCACCACCTCCTCACACAATCTCCCCAATATCACCTTCCGACAACCAAACTCATCGTTTACTATAGGGGTTCCACTAGAGGTGTGGGGGCGCGACGTCATTCCACGGTCCCCTCAGTGCGTGTGCCATCCATCTCCATTTCCTTCGGAATATTTTTTGAGCAATAGCTTCTTGACTGTTTCGTTGTCAGAGTTCGTCACTGATAACCCTTTCTGCCCATATGATCTGCACTATCCAGCATAGCAGCTGTTGATGAAAGTCTGCAGCCAGCTGTTATAAATGCTATTCGAGACGCACTGAGTGTAAGACCCGTATAGAAGATCTCACTAACATTAGTGTTGGAAACTTGAATCCGATTAGGGCTTTGACAGAGTCATCTGTGCCGTGAGCCTGTAGTTGAAACGATACTTCCTAGATAAGTGAAGGCAGTGACATCTTTCAAGTTTATCCCGTTTATGGTGACTGGCGTCTTTTGTTGGTGTTGTTGTTGGTTGTTCGTTTTAATTACCTCCATCTTCCCCTGTTCATTTGAAGTCTTACCTTCACTGACTGTCTCTTCGAGTTTACGTGACATTTGACACAAGGCATCTATGAAGTCCAGATCTCCTACAATCTTCTAATCAGCCCAGTATGTTTTTGTCCTCTAGCTTCCCACGTGAGGTGTGGTGCATAATCCATTCCACCACAATGAGAAATATCGTCAATGATAGTAGGCTGTGTTATTTTACTCCAGTCTTCATTTCAAATGTTTCGCCAAGTTTTCGGTTGTAGATCACTTGACATATAACTTCGTCTCTTACAATTCTCTTTTAATACTTTATACATTCCCCTACAAATATGCACTTTCTAGGAAGCAGCTGAATAGGCAGATTGAATATTATATTTCTATAAATGATAAATAACATTTACTTATTTACTTATTTCAAATGTAACATACAAATGGTATTTGCTACTTCATATCTCCACAAAATAAAAAATACAGTAAAAAATGAAGTCATAAATAAATACAGAAGTAAATATGAGGAAAGAACCATCTACACACAGTGTTAGCTCGATGAAATATAGCCGTCAAATACTTCTCAAATCATCATAAATATTTGAAATGATAATACTGCTAACAATGGAAGTTCAGATAATATTTTTGGTAATTACATAGCTGAGGAGTAATCAAACTTCCAGTGAAAAGAAGTTTTAACTGAGATTTGTATAGTTATGGTGACTATGATTACAATATATATATATATATATATATATATATGTATATATATATATATATATAAGAATATAAATACACCAAAAAACTTCAAGAAAAAGGATTGCTCAGTGATAAATGTCTGCTGCTTGACTGAAGTGAATTCAACACGCCTATTCATATTTCCATTTGCAATTTAACCAGGTTGATGAATTGCATAAGCTTGTAAATCACTATCGAATTTCCTTAATCCATTCTTAACTGGAGCTGATTTAGGTCGTTCACACGGAAGCTCAAGAGTTGATAAACGGGGAAAGCGTTTAATACTATGAGAATATTGTCTATATGGCCCATTTTGGTAGCGATTGAGATCATTTTCATTGCTGGGAATTTTATCAATACTGTATGTGGAGTATATATAGGCTGTTTGATAGAATTTAAACAAAAACACAAATGTTATTTAGAAAGTAAAACGTTTGAAATAACAATAAGTAAATAATAAAACAAAGCAGGTAGTTCTTTTTCGTTAAACTCTTATTAAATCTCCTGCCACTTCGTAGCTCTTACGTTCCACAAGAACAGCCAGAACTTTTAAAAAAAATCTTCATCTAAAACGGTTATCCACTGCGATAAATGGATAAGAACATCAAACTAAAAGTTACGAGAAACAAAACATGACATGAATCTTGATTTCAAAGGAGACCCAACCTGTGATATTCTGATGGGCATAATTTCATCCTCATGGAGAAGAGCATTCTACGTGGCAAAGCTAACAGCAATACTCTCCAGAAGCCTGAAAGACAAGGTCTTGCATCTGACCACTTCTGTGTGCATATATCAGTTCACATGTTTGTGTGGAGCCAGGTATGTTGGTTACTGGACATCAGTCCTGTCTAAGAGGGTTCAAGAATGACATCCGACGTGGTCGCAGAAAAGCAGAAGTAGCTGTATAAAAGGTGCGAAAACTGACCACCCTGTCACCATTAATTATTCTATCTCAACAAACTCAAAGTAGTCTACAAAATGAAGAACAGCCTGTTAAAAGGCAATACGCATTACTGAAATTCTAGCCATTAAGATTCGGAAACTGAAGCTTTGCATACAAAAGAAATTTATTCAACCACTCCTGGTCTCATAGTAACAACCCTGTTGATTTCTACCAACCTGGTTTTATTTGTTTGTTTTATAAATCTTTATAAATCTTGCACTCCTTGTGTAATTTCAAATTTTCCTTTGTTTCTATGTGCATACTGCTTACTGCCTGATATAGTTAAAACTTGACCTCAAAAATGTATATTTCTATTTTTCGACGAATGCATTATTATTTCTTTGGGCTTCCAGAGGAACATGAAGCTTCAATGACAAGACTCCATTTCATTTTGTTCTTTACATTCCTCTTTAGTTGGTCGGCTCCACGGTTGCCCAAAGGCTTTTATCTGCCTCCTGCGAGATCCTGTACATGTCACTTTTGGACGCCTAGTTAGTCTTTCTCATTCGGATCCCATTCAAGGGCCTGGTGCGCTATGTCACCAAGCGGTTTCCTCAGCATATGCTCATTCCATCTCCACTTTTGTTCTCTGCTAATCCAATTGACCCTTGTCTACTACTTTGACTCATACATTTGACCTCAGAACCATTCCAGGGTATTAGATAGAATAAATAGATTTGTCTAATGGCCTCCACACTATCTTCTAACCGAAATAATTTGTTTTTATAAGTTAATAGGTAGCACTGTTTCACTGTTTGGTAAATTAATATCATTCCTTTGGGTCTTGAGTAAAACATAGGGCAACAACAGTACGTCTCCGCTTCATTCTGTATTCTGCATTCGATTTTAGCTGACTCAACGATTTCCAATGAGCTGTCATCTCCTCCCCACACGATCACCTCCATGTCACCATAGGTACCACTACCAACTGGCCGTTTCACATTTAAAATCCACTAGGGTGATGGTCCACTGTGCGATGTCACCAAACGATCTCCTCAGTGTGTGTCCATCCATCTTCATTTTCTTCGACACATTTGTTGTAAAAAGTTCTTGGTTGGTATGTTGTCAGAATTCCTAGTTGCTAATTGTTTCTGGAGATTCGATCTTCAGTATGTGGCTAGAGAACGCTGTTATTGGTAATTTTGTGAATAGGCCTTCTGGAAATGTGCCAAAATTCTACACTACAGAGAAGTAGTGACTTAACATTTATGTTGATAATCCGAATTTCATTCTTTATGCTGAGTGTAGGAGATTTCCAAACTGGCTTCATAATGACGAAGGTCTGCCCTGCCTTTCTGATTCTGGTTTTGTCAGTCTCATCCGTGCTGTCTGCCTGTAGTTGAAACGATGTTTGCTAGAAAAGTGAAGGAAGCAACCTGTGTCAAATATCTCTTGTTGATGGTGATAAGTCTAGTAAGAAAAATTCACATGTGACTACACACTACCACAGTGTCCAAGGTTTACGCATATACTAACTCCAACTTCATTATTTGAAGTTTAATATTCGGGTTATTTTCCCCATTTTATAAATAAGCGATACCTTATTATAAGTCTTATCACCCCTAACTTCATGTTTACTAATTCTGAGAAGTCTTAGTGTTTGTATTTAACACTGAATAGTTATTGTCTTTATGCCTCATATCAGCAGTGATTAGGCGGTTATCATGTGTGAATGACTAAGATCTTAAATTTCCCTTTCCTCAATTCAACTTTATATGTCAAAGGTGGATATCAGAAGCACAACAAACTAATGCCTAGGTAAATAAGAATTCGTCTGTCTCAAGCTGACTGTATGGATTTACGCACGTTTTCACATATATTTAAACGACCAGGAATAATTCGAAATCAATCGATATCACAAAGAAGAATTATTCAAAGAATGTGTACTATTTACTGGAATAACTCGTTTGGATTTTTAAAAATTTAATTATTCCTTTTATTCTTTTTAAATTTTGCTATTAAATTTAACAATAGTGAAACATATTCACTTACTTTTACTATTTTGATTTGAAGACCACATATAACTGTTTACATTTGGCCATTGTAGACGTGGAAATGATGTTCTTGCACGAGTTATTGAAAATTGTGAATCACTAATACTTGAATCACTAAGTTCACTACTTTCGACTGGTTCATTATTAGGATGATTTTCAATTCGTTGATTTTCTTGTTTTATTGGGCCTTTCATTGAGATAACTTTAGTTGAATTAAGTTCATTTAATAAATTTTGATGTTTGATAAATTTTTCATCAGGGTATATTTTTAATGTATATGGTACAGACTATATTTATTTAAAAAAAAGAAAATAAAACGAAAAATGTTTTAATATGTTTTAGTTATATATTATATTTCAGTTCTTTAAATACTATTTATAGATCAGTGACCAGTAGGGTAAAGCAGGTTGGACGTGAGGACAAATACTCGCCGAAGACATTGCGAATTCGTCACGCTGTCGTGAATTGGCAGAAGTTGGAATTCATGGACCATTGGATTGGTTCCCAGTGGATTAATGGTCTACGAGCTCGCTTTGTAACCAGAAAGTCCTGGGTTCGAACCCTTGTGGTGGGTGCGTACTGCTGAAGAGTCCCAAACTAGGCTGACAAAACAGCTGTCCAGTACTTCCTGCTGGTTTTCCAATGGTTTTCTAACTAATGTCAGCTCATGATGAAATCCTGTAACCAATCAACCGAATCCCTACAAACCAATACTTGAATGTATCTTAAAATACTAGTTAACTTAAAATATATATGAGGTTTTTAGAATTTTCCTTTATTCATTCAAAATAGCACTTGTTAGAATCAAAACTACCCAAGTAATACCAATGCCATTATCTTGTTAATTTAAGAATACTTTTTTTTAAATAACACCGAAGAAGAATAGTGAAAGTCAGTCACCAATGGACAGAAGTACTTTTGTGCTCATGAATGTTCAAGATATGGTGGATTACAAACACATTGTAAGTGTAAAGTGGTTAAATATTTATCTTTCTACATACACGTAGTTATTTGAAAAGATCTCGACTGATGAAAGTAGCTCCACGTTAAATAAATTTTTTATCGGCCTCATTCAACAGCTATATGACAATGTTGTATGTAAAGTTATACACAATGAAAGACTCAACAAAGCTTCTCTTGTGAAGACAGGAGTAAGGTAAGACTGCCTACTATCATCGACGATATTTCTCATTGTGGTGGAATGGATTATGCACTACACCTCACGTGGGGAGCGAGAAGACAGAAACACACTGGACTGATTAGAAGACTCCAGGAGATCTGAACTTCGTAGACGCCTTATGTCTAATGTCACGTGAACTCGAAGACCAACAGGCAAAAACCAACAAGTTGTAAGAAGGGACAGTCAGCGAAGATAAGACTTCAAGTGAACACGGGAAAGATGTAGGTAATTAAGATGAACAACTGACAACACCAACAAAAGACGCCAGTCACCATAAACGGGACAAATTTGAAAGATGTTACTGCCTTCACTTATCTAGAAAGCATCGTTTCAAATACAGGCACACGACACAGATGAGACTGTCAAAGCCCTAATCGGATTCAAGTTTCCAACACTAATGTTAGTGAGATCTTCTATATGGGTCTTACACTCAGTGCGTCACGAATAGCATTTCTAACAGCTGGCTGCAGACTTTCATCAGCAGCTGTCTATGCTGGCTAGATATTGCAGATCATATGGCCAGAAAGAGTTATCAGTGACGAACTCTGATAAATAACCAATCAAGAAGCTATTGCTCAACAAATACTCCGAAGGAAATGGTGATGCATGAGACACATGCTGAGGGGACCGTGGAATGACATCGCACCCCCGCATCTCTAGTGGGACCCCTATAGTAAATGATGAGTTGATTGTCCGAAGGTGATATTGGGGAGATTGTGTGAGGAGACGAAGACAGTTTGTGGGCATTCGTCGAGCTAGCTAGATTAAGAGAACTTCAAACAACAGAACAAAGCGGAGATGAACTGTTGAATTCGTATGCTCCACTTGGAACCAAAGAGAATAATAATGAATACGTTATTAGACTACATTCGAGTGCATTAAATTTATACATTTTTGTGCAATTAAAAAGGCCGTATAAATCGAAATGGATGGTGAAGGCTTTATGTAAAGTATTCTAAATCACGTTTAATTAGTACTTCTGCAAATCCTTCATTTTATTTTATTTTAGTAGAATAAACGAATAATTGAAAGAGAGATACTTTCATATTCAGATAATTTAACGAGGTTATTTGGGATAAAAATCTCATATAATTTTAAGACCAGTTAACGTCCTACCCTCAATTACTTACAGTTTAATTAGTAAATTAGCCTTCACGAAGCTAGATACAGCAATAACTGTCAAGTAGGATTGTCTACCTAGACTGATTATTCCGTTTACACTACTTCAAACTGTCTAATAACTAAGGCCTACATTTCAACTTCAAGTAACATTCCATTATGAAGTCAGTCACTCTGAACTAATCCAATTTCCAAGTGTTTACCTGAAGAAATTTGATTGTTTCCAGTTTAGATAACGAACAAATAAGTAAGTAAGCTGCAGCTAGCGGAGCCGACAGAGTTTGATATAAGGGTGAATACTCGCTGATGACACTGGCTATCGGTGGTGCTATATATTGTAAGTTGGTAATAGTTATAATTCACGAGTTAATGTATTCCCTGTTAAGCGGTTGCTGCCTATCTTGAAAGTCTTCCCTTCCCTTCTTGATGATGTATGTCATCATTACATTTTGCTGAAGAGCCCCAATCTCGGACGAGTCAGCTGTTTAGTACTTCCTCATTTTCAGTGGTTCTTTAAATAATTTAGAGTCTTCAAATAACTTAAAAATTATTTTATTAAGTATGTTTATGACAAATTATTTTACGACTTACAATTTTACTACAAATATCATTTTTTTGTTTTTTTGTTATATAGTTAAGTGTAAATAATTGTGAGGATTTGTGCTGACGCATAGTTGAGCATATATATACATGAAAATAAGGTTAATGGAGTTAGTAAAAGTTGAGGAATTCATTTCTGCTTTGTTGTTTTATTTTTTGTACAGATTTATACATCAATATGGTTCAAGTATCCAAGTTAATATTTATAAACATTTGCGATTCTGTCAATCTAAACAACATAAGATTGTACCACAAGAAAGAAAACATTATAGTTGGTGTTATTTTATACTAACAATGATTTCTCTTCAATGTGTTTGTATAACTATTAATGATAATTATACACAGTTGATACGGAGTGGTAATAATTCTCACGGTAATGATGAACTCTTGATTGACTGACAGTATTATTTCTTGAAAGTACTACTTCGAAACAGAATGCGTTTTTATGGTCTCTGATGTGTGAAACAGTCTACAATCTCATGTATGGTTTCAGTTTCTTCAGTAATTTTTTCTACAGAAAGGTTAGTTATATAGAGAATAGTCTCAATAGAAAAGAAAGTTTCGTGAAATGAAATAAAGAAATAGGACTGAAGTTATTTTTGCCAGTAAAAACGATCAGTTACTCCATATTAGTTTGTTTATTAGATATAAACTACTAGACAGCTTAGCCAACGTGTTAGTGAACATCTCCCATCGTGGTTTGGCAAGGGACAGACAAAAACAATCCGTAGCTCAATTTTGTCACACTTAATTGATAGTGGTCATGTAATCGAGAAAACGAGAGCCTTCAAAGTGATTCATCGTATCCCACAGAATCTTTCCAATAGACTTCGTATTCGTCTACTACACACAGCTGAGGCAATAGGCATTCGAACTATTAAACCTAAATTATGTATTCAAAATAAGTTCGTACAGCCTTTATCCCTCCCTTGGCCTATTAAGACGTAACCAACTAATAACTTCTACACCACCCTTAGTTTGTATTTTCATCCCCTTTCTTATCATCCCTTAATCTTATCTTCATTATAAACGTGTTTCATTTCCTTCCCTAACAATCTAACATTACTTAATCGGTTCATTTGTTTTTACTAGCCTTTATCGACTACTTCCACCTGAACAGTTGTTTGTTTAATCATGCTGTTTTTCATTATTCGTGTTATCACAGATTGCCTCACTTTTTCATCCTTATTATTGATAAGACCATTTCTATTATTACTATAATTATTATTATCATTACTACTATTATGACTAATTGCACAGTTTATATTCACCATCGTATTATCCTATAGACAAAACACCATGATTGGTTTATATTTGAATTTTATTTGTAAACTTATATTTATTAGAGTTAAGCCTGATGAGATCTAATTGAAAACAATATTGTTCGCTTAAATGTGTTGTTCTAAATTTTACTATGGGAATATTTAGTATATTAGATATATCACACAGTGAAACAGTATTATTTACTGGATGACTCTTCGAACAAAATTTATTGTTCATAATCATATCATCAGTTATAATCACACGACTTTGAAACTTGAGTTTTTATCAAAGTCGTGTGATTATAATTGATATGATTATGAGCAATAAATTTTGTCGGAAACGTCATCCAGTAAATAATACTGTTTCACTGTGTGATACATCTAATAAACAAACTAATATGGAATTACTTACTACCATAGTGCCCAAGTTTTACACATATATATTACTACGATCAGTTACTATAGAAATCACGAATTGGTGATAGTTAGAATTTATGGGCCATTTATTCGAGTCCTAGTGGTTGAATGGTCTATGAGCTTGCCTTATAAATGGGATATCCTGGTGGGTGCCTACTGTTGAAGAGGCCCAAACTAGGATAAAACAGCTGTTCAGTACTCCCCGGTCTTCCCATGGTTCTCCACTTGATGTCAGCACGTGATCCAAGTTGAAGAGGATAGAATTCTTTCGAAAATGTATCTGAGTCATATTCATGAAACATGGCTTATTCAAAATTATTGTTTGTTTTATGTAGGTTATTTTATTAGACTCATAGCTTTAGTTGATGATTTACCTTGAGCAAAAATTGTTTTCTTAATGGTACAAATTTTTGTTGTTGTTGTTTTGACTATTGTAAATGATGATTTGTCGTCTCACCAACTCCCATTTTTCACAGGCAGAATAAATTTGTAAAAAAGAGTGTTTTTAATTGTTAGTCCAGTGTGCATGAATGTAATTTAATTTACAGTGCATATATTGTTTAAAACTGTTGAATGTGTTTGTTTAATAATTATACATATTAAATGTTATTATTATTAATGTTAGTTAATATAAAGTATATTGGTGAATAGTGTGAAAATTTGTACTTCATTCATTAAGATGTTATCTGGCAAAAGATGAACACCATGTTGAGGCTTACTTATACATACCGTTTGATTATGTAATACAGGTGTTTTGTCCGTTGTAGAAGGAGACTGTAGGAAAAAACAAACAAATAAAGAGGATAAAGTTGGTGATCATTATCCGAGTTGTTATTATAACAGTATTATAAATAGATAAATAAATAAATAATAAATAGACATGAGTTATCAAAATCTTGATATAAATGATGAAATTTACGACTGAGTAATTATTTATTTTGGGGATTCGTCATTTTATTCAGTTATGATTTAAACAGAGAAATTTTATCTCAATTGTAGGTTCAAAAGAACGCTGCTACCGAGTTGTTTTAGCTGATTTCATCGTGTTTTCTTTGAAATTTGAATTTAAGTTAACCAATGTTGAAGTCAGAAATTAGTATTATGTTGTTTAGGTTATTCTTGTGAACATGTATGAATTCAAGGGGCTTGGTATTTCTTGTTTTCCACTCTCCTTCAAATACTCACAACGTCATAAAGCAGCTGGACATACTATTTCCCTTTAGTAAGTCTACCATAGGAGGAAATTGTTTTAAGTTTTAGTCAGAAGTCATCATCAGTTGGGTACATCAATATCGGATATCAGGACAGTGCTTGTTGATACAGCTGTATACCCTAAACTCTAATGAACGAAATATTCCTATATTGAACAATAAGAAAAAAACATGTAAACAGTGAAGAAAATTCTTTTTTCGACCAATCATTTCCAAGAGATGTACAATGGAACTTATATCTTTACGAAGAATTCATAAAACCACTGTGACACTGGTAGATTTGTTCTAGAAAATGTATTACGCAATGTGAGGTGTAATCTAGAAGGGGATGACTAATTAAGGCTTGGAAAAAAAGAGGCAGGAGTTGAAATAACTTGCGTCGGTGGCATAACGGTTAGGATGTTTGCCGACCACGTACATGGTCCGGGGTTCGATCCCCGGCCGACTCACTCCTTTACCTCGCTAACCCAGAAATAAAGCTGGTAAAGAGGGAAGGTTGGGCATGAGGCTAACAACCCTATCCTGTAAAATAAACACTGCTAAAGAAACTTCAAGCTATAAGCTTGAAGCCCTATGTTCCACTGGGGAACGTGAAAGAAAAAACAGTTGAAATAACGTATTAAGTGTGGGAAATTATTTTTTTTTGCTTCACGTTCCCCAGTGAAACATAGGGCTTCAAGCTAGAGACTTGAAGTTTCTGAAGCAGTGTTCTTATTTTTACAGGATGGGATTGCTAGCCTCATGCCCAACCTTTCCTCTTTACCAGCGGTATTTCTGGCTAAGCGAGGTAAAGGAGTGAGTCGGCCGGGGATCGAACCCCGGACCATGTGCATGGTCGGCGAGCGTCCTAACCGCTATGCCACCGACGCACAAGTGTGGGAAATAACTGATCAATATAATTGTATAAAGTGAACATAAACTAGTAGAAAGACGGTGAAGTGTTTATATAAAATATGTTTAAGGTCCCGAATAGCCAATAATTCGGCTATGCATAGGTAGCTTGCTCGAAGTCCTCTCGTGTGATATTGAAGGACTCTATGTAGCAAGGTGAAGCAGTCATGTGGAAGTGACTAATGTTCAAAACTGTCGTATTTGACTATAGAGCTGCCGATATTCTTCTTTTCTCATTTATCTAGCCAAGTTGGACAGTGTTCCAGTATGCTTTTGTAGACTTAACGTTGTGCACAGCTGATATACTTTGCTCCGCTAGCTTTTGTTCAATTTATACAATTATACTGATTAGTCATTTCCCACACTCATTGCGTTATTTCAACTTCCGACTCTTTTTTGTTCTGATCCCCAATTAGTCATCCCTTTCTAGATCAAATCTCACATTGAGTAATACATTTTCTAGAACAAACCTACCAGTGTCTGAGTGGTCTTATGAATTCTTTGTTGAATATAAGTACGATTGTACAGCTGTTGGAAATGATTGATTGAAAAGAGAATTTTCTTCGCTGTTTACATGCTTTTTATACCAGAAACTGACAGAAGCTAGAATTCACGGGCCTTCAAATTTCCCCCCAGTAAGTAATGAGACAACAAACTCGCCTCGTAACCTGAAGGACCCGCATTCGATCCCTCAGTGAGGCCATGACTGTGCACTGATGAGGAGTCTCAAACTGGGGTGAAACAACTGCCCAGCATTTCCCAGATTTTCAATGATTCTCTAACTGATGTCAATTTGTGTCCAATTTTGAGCGTTTCCTCTGAAATACTGATCATTAATTGCTACACCAAATCCTTTGCACAAAGAAATAGTTTACGCTAGTCAGTTAATTTGAAGTTTTTTTAGCTTAGAAAGGAAAAGAATCGGTTAAAAGCTTTGATTCCCAGGAGCTGCTACTTAGATCAGTTGGTTTTAAATAGAATGTTAGAATGTCAGAAAGAATAAAAATTTTACTCGACTTGAATTTGCTTAGTTTAACAAAACGAAATAGTTGTTCAACATCACATAACTTCACATGAACCATGAGATAATTGCAGATGTTTCCAGTGCATCTATACTGAAAGTCTAACTGACTATATAGAGCTTTTTTTTCTAAGACTTTGCTAATATGCAAATAAGAAATTCAATCAATACCGCAACTTCAATTACGCATGGCCTACTTTGTTTGATAATTGACCTTATCCAAGTGTTGGTTTGTGGGGATTTGATTGGTTACAGAATTTCATCATGAGCTGATATTGGTTAGAGAACCATTGGAAAACCTGGGAGTACTGGACAGCTGTTTCGTCCTAGTTTAGGACATTGGCTATTGGTCGCGCTATGTCGTGAATTGGCAGAAGTTAGAATTCATGGGCTATTGGATCGGATCCCAGTGGCCTAATGGTCTACGAGCTGGCCTTGTAACCGGAAGGTCCTGGGTTCAAAACCCGGTAGGTGCGTACTGCTGAAGAGTCCCAAACTAGGCTGACAAAACAGCTGTCCAGCACTTCCTGCTGGTTTTCCAATGGTTCTCTAACTAATGTCAGCTCATGATGAAATCCTGTAATTTACCTTATCCTTTGCTTTGTCTGCTTGCAATTTAACAAAAAGAAAAACATTATGATAAGGAGATATGATTATGAGCAATAAATTGTGCTCGAAACGTCATCAGTAAATATTACTGTATAACACTGTGAGACTTTGTGATGATATTAGGTGGTTGGAGGCAATCAGCAGGAAGCCTGACTGATAGAATTCAGTCTGCATCAAAGAGAGGACCAGACGCATCACACTAGTTACTAGTGTCAAATCAGAATACTGTGAGACTTTATCAAAATAAAATCTACCCATAATGGAATATGATAAGAAGATTATAAAACAAGTAGTCATGTCAGAATTAATAACTGGTACCGAGATTTTGCTTCACTTACTACGAATATAATCAAATATGTATGTAAATGGTATTTCTTTATTTCTTTGTTGAGTCTTATCATAATATTATTCTCATACTGTGGTCCTATCGATTAGTTTATACTTCCCTATATATATCATTGAATGTCTGTAAATTCATATTTTACCATAAAAATAATAGATAGTAAATAATTTTATGGTTAACTGGTTAAGATTAAGCTATAAAGCTTTACAGATTTACCTCTAACCATCTTGTTGATTTATAAAATATTATGTTTCAAGTAGTAGCATAACAAATCAGTTAACCACTTGTTACTATGATAGAAAGAGTACTGATTCTTCCTTGTTTCAGTACTCATGAAAAGATTTCAATAGAAGTACACTTCATATAAAAGAAAAAATGTTCAGCGAAGAGGTACTCTTTTCAGAGATACCACTCTCAATCTGTACAGTCTCACAAACATATATGTATCGTAAATTATCTTAACAACAAAATGAATATCCCCAAAATATGTCATTATAATTGTAAATTTTAGATGACGAACTACGTAATATAAAGAAGTATTAATCGGGTAGGAACTAAAATGAAATCAGTAAATTGAGTGACGTAATACAACTGAGGTGATTGAGTAAAATTCAAATTTAACTAAATGAGAGTCAAGTTTACAACAGTAGTATTAAGGGGTAAAAATTAAACAGGAGGCGACGGAAGAAAATAATACCATTAAAAACCGATAACTAGGTATCTGGTGTTAAGATAGATCAGGTTCATTGTAGATTTAGTGACTGAACAAACTCATTCTGTATTCAGAGTTCTGGATTTAACATGTGGATTGCCACTGATTCTGTGGTTTGAAGGAGTTTGATTCGTACCCTTTTAGCAAGATTCCCGCGAATTCCATAGATGATTTTGAAGTTGGTTTGTGAGTTAGCTTGGTGTCTAGATTCGATCAGGTGTTTCAAGACAGATTTGCATTAGCATCTTTTTCTCATTTATTAAACCATTAGGGTAAGTGTATATTTCTCAGTGTAATTCAAATACACTATGTATATGTAGAGTCAACTTGTAAAACTAATGTCATCAGTAATCAGACGAAATATGCTTAAATTGGTTTCTGAATGGTCAACCATATGAGCATGAAATGTGCATATCATAAAATTCTCATTTCATCATCGGTAAATGGATGATACCTTCAGTGTTTGTGAAAATGATTTGGACAAGAATGCAATAATATCTCAGTTCATTGCATCGGTGGCATAGCGGTTAGGACGCTCGCCGACCATGCACATTGTCCGGGGTTCGATCCCCAGCCGATGCACTACTTTATCTCACTAAGCCAGAAACAATGCTGGTAAAGAGGAAGGTTGGGCATGAGGCTAGCAACTCCATCCTGTAAAATAAGAACACTGCTACAGAAACTTCAAGCCATTAGCTTGAAGCTCAGTGTTCCAGGGGGAACGTGAAGGAAAATAAGTGGAGTACATTCAGCTATCAAATCCACGTGTGAAGAAGAAGACACCCAAAGTAAAATTGCTCTTTTAGGCATCCTACTGACAAGAAAACCTAATGGTAGCATAAAAATTTTGCATAAAAAATGCTTGGACCACTTAATATGCATATTTAAACAGCTTGGTTTCCCTCCGATATAAAAGAAATTCGGTGAAGACCTTCAGCTACAGGGTCAGAGTTATTTGTTCGAAAGATAAAATTTCAGACTAACTTA